AGGTTATTATAGATTAGTTCAGACTACATGGTTATGATATCAGTTCTAGCTTTACTAATTTTTTGGTCTTCTTTGTTTATTAACACATTGTTTGCGGGTAGTTTTTATCGTGTGCTAACAGGTGGCGCCGGCCATTTTTGCTAATTTTTTGTGCATATGGCAACGTTCAGTAAAATTACGATAACTTTAGTTTATGTATTTATACGTTGCCCACATTCTACCGCTAGTCTATAAAAAACGTATTAATACGTGTCCCACGCTCTACTACACTGGTAGAACGTATAAATACGTAAAATGTATAAATACGTTTCCCGCATACAGTGTGTTAAAAAAAAATTTTTTAGTCAATAATAAATAAAATCAGAAGCAAAACTTAAAAAAAAAATCACTGATTGCAGATGTTAATCACATCTACAAAATACCATCACAGCAACATTAGACTGGTGGTTGACCAAACAATTGGGCATCATAGCCTAGCCAAGTTTACACATAAAATTCAACTATCACACTATTAATAAATACAAATTAGAATATACCATGTTTCTATAAAAGTTCTTACAATGTTTATATGCTTTGAATCAGTAATTTTACTAGAAAGATTTTATCCCCAATGATAATCATCAGTACAGATAAATATCCAATACATGATATGTTAAAGAAAATGTATGTTTTAGATATATAATTCAATTTTGATACATTGCAAAATTATCACTGCACTAAATCTAGTTAAGTCATCTTATAGAGGGTGGGGCAAATACAGGCTGACGGTTGTTCATATGGAAAATAATACAAGTTAATAAATAATAATACAAACCCTGGCCAGTTTGTTGGGGTCGTCCTGTGGGTTGCAGGTTTGATTCCAGGTAAGGGCACATGTCCAGATTGTGGGCTTGATCCCCAGTCGGGGGCCTGCAGGAGGCAGCCAATCGGTGTTTCTCTCCCTTCCTCTCTCTAAATATCAATAAACTGTTCTTTCAAAAAATAATATAAAAAATACAATACAAAAAATAATAAACTTTTGCATACTCACAACTGTAAACCTACTTTGCCCAGCCTATATAATTATAGTTAATCCAGCACCATTTGTTGAAAAACTGTTCTTTACCCTTTGAATTGTCTTTGGAACCCTTGTTGAAAAGCAGTTTTCTATAAATGTATAGGTTTAGTTTGGGGCTCTTAACCCTAGTCAATTGATCTATGCGTCTATCCTTAAACCACCGCTGGTCTTTCTTACTATAGCTTTTCAGTAAGTTTTGAAATGGGGAAGCTTGAGTCCTTGAACTTTGTTCTTTTTAAAGATTGTTTTGGCTAGTCTGGATTCCTTGCATTTCCATAAAAATTTTATGATCAGCTTGTCATTTTCTGCAAAACAACAAAAAAACAGCTGCAGCTATAGACCAATTTGGAGAACTTTTCCATCTTTACAGAATCATCTTTCAATCCAAGTACATGGGATGTCTTTCTGTTTATTAGGTATTCTCTAACTTCCAGTTTGTTTTTAAATGTGTTTTAATCAGTGTGTGTGTGCATTTTAAACCAACACAGACCAAAAATATAAAATGTTATCATAGTAATTATTATTTTGAACTTTTATTGTGAAAGATAACACATACATGGAAAAGTACATAAAGCAGCCCTGTCCGGTGTGGCTCATTTGGTTGAGCATCCGCCTGTGCACCAAAAGGTTGCTGGTTTAATTCTTGGTCAGGGCACATGCCCAGGTTTTGGGTTTGGTTCCCTGTCAGGGTGCCTTGTACAGGAGGCAACCAATCAATGTTTTTCTCTCCCTCTCTCTTCCTCTAAAACCAATAAAAACATAGTTAAAAAAAGAAAGAAAAGTACATAAAGCAAATGTAAAGCAGTTGCCCATGAGACCTGAATTCCAGTTAAGTAGAATATCACCAGCCTCCAGAAGCCATCCTTCCCCCAATCACAACCCACAGCTTCTTGTGGTAACCATTTTTTTCCTTCTCTTTAAAGTTTTATCACCTAGGTATATATCCCTAAACAATATGGTTTAGTTTTACCTTTTTGGCCTTTGTATAATGCAGTCATACTGAATGTACTACTGTCTTCTTTTATTCAATATTAATGCAAGTTTAGACTCAAGTTGTGTGCAGCCAAGGTTCTTTGTGTTTTACTGATTTTAGAAACATTGATGTGAGAAACATCGATTGGTTGCTTCCCGTATGCACCCTGATACACCTGGGTACCTACTTTAACTGGAAATCTAACTGGCAACCTTTCAGTGCATAAGACAGTACTCAACTCAGCCACACTGGCCAGGGCAAGGTTCATTTTCAATGGTATATAATATTAATTTTAAGACTAGTGCTTTGGACTTAGTAAATTTGGATCAATTTCCAAGCTCAAAATTCAAATAACCACACCAGAAAATTCAGACACATGATAGCTAAATATAGGTGTTGCTTTTAATAAATGTGGACTATTATTTGAGTACTAACTACACCTTACATTATCCTATTTTCATCCTCACAGGAATCCTGCAAGGCAATTGTATCAGCCCAAGTTAGGAGGGAACTCTGGCACAGATAGGGAACTTGCCCTAGGAAACAGAGGTCCTGGGAACAGGGAACTGAACCCGTCTCATGGTCTTGTGGCTCCCAAGTACTTTCTCCCCTTGGTGCTCCCTAAATACATGCTTGGTTCTGTTCCAGACCCCATGCCACAGCTGGATGTGACTGAGGCCAACAAGGAGTTCATGGAGCAGAGTGAGGAGCTGTATGATGCACTGATGGATTGTCACTGGCAGCCCCTGGACACAGTGTCTTCAGAGATCCCTGCTGTGATGTAGCCAAGACAAAGGACAGGCCAGAATGGAGGACTATGTGAGGGAGAAAAGACTTCTTTAAAAACAACTCAAGAACTTTCACCTTTTGGGAAATGTTTTATACGATTTTAATAATCAACTTTCATGAGATTATGAATATTAGTGCAACACTGCTGCCTTTATTTGATATAGCCATTTGAGTTTGAAAACCAAGGGACCAACTTGAAGAGGGTTGAACAAGGTTCCCATCTGTCTTCAAACAATCATTTATCCAGTAGTTATCTGAACTCCTGGAGGTAACAATTTGGATTTTTTATGGTTTTAAAAATCTAGAGAAAAGGGGAGAGGGAAAAACATTGGTTACCTCCTGTTGACACCCTGATCTGGACTGAAGCCATAACCTGGGCATGTGCCCTAACTGGGAATTGAACCCGTGACATGGGAGGACGCTCAACCAAGCAGACAGGCCAAGGCTGGAATTACTAACCAAAGTAGAATTACAAATGATATGAATCAGTTTAGCCAGGGACCCTTCTCAGGTGACACTTCAAGTCCTTTAATTCTCTGGGATCAGAATATATGGATTACCTGCTATATATTAAATGAGCAATTTCTGCCTGCCATTTAAGTACTCCCAACACTGGCTTCAAATGTGGCCACTAGTAAAACTTTCAGCAGCAGGGGGTGCCTGCCTAGTTCAGGGTGTAAGAGAAAGTAATCATAGCAAAAATGCATCAGACCTTCCACACATTATCCAAACCAGGAAAGCCCATTTTCCAACTTACATGTCATGTGGCACCCAGGACCCTCTTCCTGAGAAGTCTGGGTCTATGCTAGAAATCTGCTTCAGATTTGTTTTGTGCCAGAGTAATTTGGGGGGTGGCAAAGTAAGGGGAGATAAACTTCTGAGTTCAAGTGCCTATACCACAAAAAGCCTTCAAAGGTCCAATCTTAGGCTCAGCAAAGGAGAACTACATCTAATTGCAATTGTGGAACTGATCATATTGGCCTTTCTGAGAGGTCAGACTTTTTTACATCGAGACAGATTATGAATTAACTTGGGTCTTTAATATTTAGATTTATATACCAGCATTCAAAAAAAAACACAAAACATGACATGTCACAGTTTCCACCTAAAATAACCTGTTAGGAAAATTTCCTGGGGCTGAGCCCAAAGAAAGAAGCTGACAACTTCATTACATCAAGAATTTATTAAGGGAATGTATGTAGCACACAAGACAATTCATGCTGCAGGGCAGGATGGCTAAGGAACCAGCCCCACAGTGAGGGGTGGGCAAAGGCCTAGTTCAAGAACCAGCAGGCCTTGGAGCGTGGAGAAGCTGTTACTTAAGTAGAACAGCAGAACAGTCCATCTCCTTCACAAACTTGTCTTTTCGCTCGTCTCTTACTGCAGAGCTCTCCTGTAAAGGAAGTGTAAGCCAGTGTGTTAGTACTACCCCAATTAATAAATGCCACCCAGGCACTTGCGTAAGAGCTGGTCTCAGTCCCATATCCGCATTTATCATCCATAGATGTCCACTCAGATTAGGTTTCATCCCAGACCAGTCACCCTAAAAAAAAAAATCCCCATCTAGATGGCATGACTTGTTTCTACCAAATCTATCTTCCACTCTCCCTGGGGAAAGAGGATAAGACACTGGTTTGAGGTTACCCCAAATGAGAATATTCACAGCAATCAGTTCTTGCTGCTCAAAGTTCAGGGCAGGTAGCTATTCAACTTACCCAACTCTGTAGATTCTGAATTGCAAATGAAGACAGTTTACTGGTAAAAGATCTAAAAACAAAAGGGGGGGGGTCACTTAAAAGCTGTTCCAAAGACAAATATTAGTCAGCAATCATTACACCAACTGCCCAGATTCACATCCATCCATCCTCCCTTTATCTCATTTTATAGGAAAGGACGAAACAAGTTCAAAGTGAATTCAACCCTGTTTGAAACTAGCCCACAGGCTGGAGGCACTGTGAAGCCAGCTTCACTATTACTTTTCCTCCTCTGCGACCACCAAGACCGGTGTTCAGATCCGATGGGAAAGGGAATTGGAGGGTTGGCTGTTTTCAACATCTAACTTTACCTTATTCTAAAACAGGGCAGCAAAAAGCTGGTCTCTTCAGCTACATCATTCTCAGACACTGCCAGGAAACATGGAGGCAACCTACAGGAGAAAAGGGTGAAAGCTCTAAACCAAAAAGTTGATTCAGTACATCCACCTGCATGGGCCCAGGTGGAAGGCCCCCGAGCCCAGGTCCTGAGATATAGGAAAGGCGAGTGGCAGCTGCAGGTATTATGCTGACCTGAGCTGTCAAAGTCTCTCCAGGTTGCTCTTGCATGCAGTTGGAGAGCCCATGGCTACACCAGCCACAGCCCTTGGGAACATGCTGCACTGACCCACCCGGCAGCTCTCAAGTCTCCACAAGAAACCTACCAGGTCCTGCGGTGCCCTCACTGGCATGACTCCAGCGTGCTCACCCAGCAGAATCAACTCGAACCATCCTGCAATCTTCATCTGGCACCGCTAAGATGAGAACAGAAGTGCCACACCGGTTGGAAATCGCCGCACTGTCTACATTCCTGCGGGCCTCTGAAAACACGGCAACTTTCATAAAGGTCCGTTTATGTGAGAGTCGGCAGATACCATGAGCACTGTCTTTTCCTGAAATGTTGCAGATCGGTTACAGCAAACAGAACGGCGACCGTCAAGGAAAACTGTCACTCTGGGCTCCTTTTTGACCGCAGCAGCTACGTGGAAGCAGCTGCAGCTTCGATAAGGGCCACTGTGCCGCGCGGGGCAACCCCAGCCGCTCCCGGCCCTGAGCTACCGAATCCTGTGCATCGTTACTGCCTACGGACACGCGCCGTCCCGGAGGCCAAACAGCACCCTTGAGGTCCGTTACCACGCAGCACGTGAATGACTAACCCGCCCTCCGCATCATGTGCAGCCGTGGAATTAGGGTGCAGTCCCTCCCCCAAGGTCACCCGGCAGATTCAGGTTCGATTCAGTCTGGCCGACAGCACGCGGCCTCCCCCAAATTGAACACTTCAGGCTCAGGACTGCCGTGCCCCGGCCGCCTGCCCGCGGTCCTTACCCGTCAACCCGAGCGCAGAGCCGCGCGGACTCACGGGCGTCGGCCCCTCTCCCTGCGCGTGCGGCCTCCGTGCCCGAAGGCCCGCGGCCCAGCAGGCGGGGAGGCCGGCTGCTCCAGTCCGCACTTCGCATCCTGCAGCCTTGAGAGCAGCGCAGGTGAGCGCGGGGCCGACGGCGACGAGGCCGAGCGACGGGCGGGGGAGTGGAGGACGGCGCGGGGGGCAGCCGGCGGGCTCCCCACAACACAAATCACCAGGCGCGCGGCGCTCGGAGAAAGGACGGCGGGGCGCCCGGCAAGAGTATATATGGGCCCCGCCTCTCCCGGCTGCGCCTGATGATTGGACAGCACCCCGCGCAGGCCGCTGGGAGTTATAGTCCGACGGTTTCCGGCGCGGGGCGGGGCGGGGCGGGGCGGGGCGGGGCATCGGCTCCCAGTGGGAGGAGCGTGAGGATGGGAGACCTCTCAGCGGGGGATGGAGAAACCGGTAAATGGTTTGTTCAGGGGCCGCGGAGGCTCTTTCGCGTAGTTCAGCGCTCCCTGGAGGCCGAGCACCGGGCCCTGGGCCTACAAGGGAATCAACCTCTCCGTGCCCTCCAGTTCAGCCTGGGAAGATCTTCAAAGCATCAGGAGGAGCAGCGGCCCAGTGGGTTGCGGGCAGGGGCTCTGTGAGGTCTGGGAGAGGAGTTTTGGGAGGGGCGTCTTAAGAAGAGGTGATAGAGCCCTGGCTTGTTTGGCTCAGTGCCTAGAGCGTTGGCCTATGGACGGAAGGGTCCTGGGTTCCATTCCGGTGGAGGGCACATCCCTGGGTTGGGGGCTTGGTCTCCAGTAGGGGGCGTGCAGGAGGCAGCGGATCAATGTTCTTTCCCATTCTGTCTCTCCCTTTCCCTTCCTCTCTGAAATCAATAAAAATATTTTTTTAAAAAGAAGAGGCAATTGATTGCTCATATGATAAATGCATTATTTGTTCAAGGCTTGTCTCTTCAAGCTAAGTCTATATAATAAAAGCCTAATATGCAAATTGTCCCCTCCACCTGGAGTTCATTGCTTGCTATGACTGCGCTGACCTACAGGGGGCAACACGGACCATGGCAGGCATTGTTGATGCAGCACTGGCAGTGGGCTGCAGGCAAGGTGCCTCTGGCCCCATGGGTATGGCCACTGCCCGTGCACCTGGCAGCCTGCCCATGCTACTTACCTGTCACACCAGAGCGCAGAGCTGCAAGGACTCAGGCAGGAGAAGGGCACGTCTCTCATGGGCCTCCTCTCCTCTCCCTGTGCATGCAGCCTACGAGCCCTTAAGGCTCTCGGACCAGCAGGCGGAGACGCTTCCATGTCTTTGGATTGGATCTATTTTGTTCACCACTTTATTGTGTTCATTAGATTCCACATATGAGTGAGATCATGTGATACTTGTCTTTCTCCGACTGGCTTATTTTGCTTAGCATAATACTCTCCAGGTCTCTCCATGCTCTCTAAAAGGGTGCAAAATCCTTTTTTACAGCTGCATAGTATTCCATAGTGTAAATGTACCACAGCTTTCATGTTTCTCATCAATATCTCTCCTCCCCTCCTCTCTCTCTCAAATCAATTTAAAATAAATAAATAAAAAAATCAATTTTAAAACATACATTAACCCCTAGAGTGCCGGGGAGTGCGATCGCGCCCCTCCTGTCTTTCGCCAAAAGTGCCAGGAGCACTATCGCACTCCTGCAGTGTCACTATTAGATGCTAGTAGTTCACTCTTTATTGACAGATGGCACCTAAGTGCAGAAAACAAATGTAATAAAGGTTTCCTTAAGTTTTTGAATATGTAACTTCATTTACTTGCCAATCAATGATTCTCTCTCATCATTGATGTTTCTATCTTTCTCCCTCTCCCTTCCTCTCTGAAATCAATAAAAAAATATTTTTAAAAATACATGGGAACCATAACCGGTTTGGCTCAGTGGATAGAGCATCGGCTTGCGGACTGAAGGGTCCCAGGTTCGATTCTGGTCAAGGGCATGTACCTTGGTTGTGGGCACATCCCCAGTGAGGGGTATGCAGGAAGCAGCTGATCAATGTTTCTCTCTCATTGATGTTTCTAACTCTCTATCCCTCTCCCTTCCTCTCTGTAAAAAATCAATAAAAAATACGAAATATCATGGGGAACCCAGCTGACATGGCTCAGTGGTTGAGCATCAACTTATAAACCAATTGGTCATGATTCAGTTCCCAGTCAAAGCACATGCCCAGGTTGCTAACTTTATCCCCAGTGTGGGGCGTGCAGAAGACAACTGATCAATGATTCTCTCTCATCAGTGATGTTTCTATCTCTCCCTCTCTGAAGTTTATATAT